TAGGCTTCTTGCTTGAGGCGTTGCATGTTGATCACAGCCATCTTGAGGTTCCGAGGGGGCCTCGGCATCAGGTTGTTGGTAATCTGGTATGCCTCTAATGTGCACTCTGTTGCGCCGCAGTACGCTGTCACCAACTTGCACCTTGTATGATCTATCACCACATTGTTCAGTCACGGTTGCTTTTGTCCACATCCCATCTTTGGTTGGGCGAACAGTTACTTTCTGTCCTTTCTTTAACGGATGAAGGTCTTTGGCTTGTCTGTCGTGGTAAAAAATCATCCTTCGTTTCTTCTCTTGTAATCGCTTACTGGCATTGACAACCCGTGGCTGCAACAGCTTCGTTGTCGTTGGCAGCGACGTTCGTGTACGTCGGCCCATGAGGAGTTGAGCTGGGCTTGCCTTCATGTGTTGCAACGGCGTGTTGCGATAATCCAGGAACGCCATTTGTGGGTCACTATTGCTGTCGTCAGCCTTCTTCAAAAGCATTTTGACGGTCTTCACTGCGGACTCTGCCATGCCGTTTGATCTTGGGTATGCAGGGCTTGACGTTGTGTGCTCAAAGTTCCATTCTACTGAAAACTTGTGGAATGCTTCACAGGCAAATTGTGGGCCGTTGTCCGTGACAAGGACTCTTGGGATGCCATGCCTTGCGAAGTGTGCTTTCAGTCTTCGTATTACATGAGCTGATGTTAGCGAGTTGAGTTGGTCGACCTCCCAGAAGTTGCTGTAATAGTCCAATGTGACTAGCAGGTGTTTGCCTTTGTGCTCCAGTATATCACATCCAACACGCTCCCAGGGGAAGTTGGGTTCTGGGTGAGGCTTTAGTGTCTCTCGCTGCTGTGCTGGTGTATGCTTCTGGCAAATCTCACAAGCTGAGATGTGGTCCTTTATCTCTGCATTCATGCTGGGCCAAAAGATGCTGTCCCGTGCACGTCGCAGAGTGCTTTCAACACCCATGTGTGATGAGTGCAGCTTTTCTTTCATCTCTCGACGTAGTGCTTTTGGTACAACCAGCCGTTGTCCTTTGTACACTATACCGTCTTCCACCACGAGCTCATCTCGGAATGGGAAGTACATTCTGATTTCTGGTGGAATGTTGTTCCTGTCCTGCGGCCATCCTGCCAGGATCACCATTACCAGTTTCTGCAAATTATCATCCTTCAACGTTGCCTTGCGGATCTGTTCTGCAGTTTCTTTTCGCACAGGTAAGTGGTTGATCATGTTGATGTCTTCCAGTTGCTGCTCACAGCCACCGTCCTGCAGAAATGCTCGTGACATTGTGTCGGCCAAAAGAAGTTCTTTCCCTGGTCGGTATTGAATGTCGATATTGTACCGTTGGGTCTGCAATATCATTCCCTGCAATCTTCTCGGGACCTGATCCAGCTGCTTCTTCATGATGGCTTGCAGAGGCTTGTGATCTGTGATCACAGTAGTGAGTCTTCCAAAAGTGTACTGGTGAAACTTGTTCAACGAGAAGACTATTGCAAGCATTTCTTTTTCAATTTGTGCGTAACGTACTTCAGTTGGGGTGAGAGCTCTGCTTGCAAAAGATATCGGCTGTCCCTCCTGAAGAAGTGCAGCTCCTAGACCACGCTCACTGGCGTCGCACTGTATCACAAGTGGTTTCTGTGGGTTGTAGTATGCCAACACCGGTGCCTTTACTACCAATTTTTTTGCTTCTTCAAAAGCTTCAACTTGCTCTCTCTCCCATTCTCATGGTGCATCCTTGATGACCAACTTTCTTAGTGGTTCTGTAACATGGGAGATCTTTGGTAGAAAACGTGCAAGGTAGTTGACCATCCCACAAAAGCGCTGCACAGCATTGACGTCCGTAGGTGGGGGCATCTCTTGAATGGCCCTGACCTTTTCAGGGTCGACTCCTAGTCCTTCTCTCGTCAATAGGTGTCCTAGAAAAGTCATACTTGAACAGTGAAGCTCAGTTTTGTCTCTGTTGATTCGCACGCCAATCTTCTCACACCTTTGTAGTAGGCTTTCAAGCTTTTTGTCATGATCTTGGCGAGCTTCACTTTCAGCTTCTCCAACTCCAAACACAAGGATGTCGTCTGCGACACACAATACACCATCTAGTCCATCCAGCGCTGACTGCAGTCTTTTTTGAAAAATTTCACTACTGACAGCAAGTCCAAATGGAAGGCGTAGCCAGCGGTAACGTCCCATTGGTGTCTGGAAGGTGGTGAGTACACTTGACTCTTCGTCCAAAATGCACTGCCAATAGCCGTCACGCAGGTCCAGCTTCGAGAAGACCTTGGCTTTAGCAACTTCAGGCAGAATGTCGTCCAAGATTGGCAAGGGGTGTCGCTCTCGCTCCAAAACTTCATTAAGAGCTTGAGGATCAATGCAGATTCTCATATCACCATTTTTCTTCGTGGCAACAACCATTCGGCTCACCCACGGGGTTGGTTCGGTGACACTTTTGATGATTCCCCTTTGTTCTAGGTTTCTGATTGTCTTTTCTAGCTGCGGTTTAACACTCACTGGCACCCGACAGCCTGTCACCGCCTTTGGGCTTGCAGCAGGTTTAGTCACCAGGTGTACAAGTCCAGGTAATGAGCCTAAAGACTGTCCGAAGACGTCGGAGTGTCTTTCCATGATCTGTTCCAGTGCACCCTGTGCACCTGCAGCACTGATGCTGGCAACCAGACTGTAATTCACTGTGATCAGTCCCATCTGCTCGGCTGTCTTTCGTCCGATAAGGGGTCTGAGGTCATCGCGCACCACGACAAAGTCAACAATGTGCTTGTGTCCATTAGCAGTGGTTACATTCAACCTCGCCTTGCCGTATGGCACTACCTTGGTACCATTCCACATTCTCAGCGTTGTAGACGTCGGCATTATCTGATCAGGCGACACATTTCTCTTGGTGATGACATTTACAGCAGCCCCGCTGTCAACCTGGAACCTTATTCCTTTTTGGTTCAGATTTAAAGTCGCAAACAGTGGACTTGGTTTGCCGCTTTGCACCATCAGTATTTCATCTGTGTCGTCTTCTGGCCCCAAACTGGCAACAGTCTTGCTGTTTTTACACACAACTGCAAAATGGTTCTGTTTTTTGCATTTGTTGCATGTTTTGTTCCATGCTGGACAAGCATTTCTAGCACGTGCATGATCGCTTCCACAGTACTTACAATGCTGTACTGCTTGATTCGAACTTGTCTTTTTATCTTTTGCTCGGTCAACAGGGGGTAGACGACGGCGTCTGTCTTTCACTGCATGAACTTCCTCAGTTGCTGGTCTGCCTTCCTTGAAGACTTTAAGTTGCAGCTTCGTTGACTCATGCGCTAGACATACCTTGACAACCTTTTCAAGCGACGGTTCATCAAGTTTTAGAATGTCCGCTCGCGCTTTCTCGTCATTCACTCCGCAGACAATCTGGTCTCGAATCATCTTCTCCTTTTCAGGTCCGAAGTTGCAGTCCCGAGTCTTCAATTTGAGATCGGTTAAAAACGTGTCGAACCTCTCGTCGGGGAGTTGTACTCGAGTGCGAAAGATGTAGCGGGAGTATACTTCGTTTTGCTTCGGTAAGAAGTGTGCATCCATAAGCCTCACCACGTGCTCAAAATCATACTCGGGGTGAGGTCTTTCTTGCGTTGCGCTTCCAAAGTCTAGCGTATTATAGATGTCCAGTAGGCTTTGTCCACCGATCGTCAAAAGGAGAGCAACTTGCCTTTGGGAGGATGTTCCACTGACATCCGTAGCTTTCATGTAGAGCGTGAAGGCTTGCTTGAAGGTGCGCCATTGTTCGGCAGCGTTGCTGTCGTTCTCGAACTTCGGCGGCGGCGGGATCCTTTCCATGTCGTCTTCAGTGGCTGCTCTAGTGGACGAGCGCGTTGACTTCTACCGCTTCTGACACCATGTTTCAATGTCGTTGGTTGCGGACACGTTTAACCTTTAAGAACTGTTTATTGAATGCTTAATGACGAGTTACATTGTGGTGCGTACTTCGCGCCCCGCGTCTGATATGCCCCTGCCTTCGGCCCGGAGGTGGATGGCGCCAAAATACACAGGAGGGTGGCGCCATCTAGCGACATGTCTTGTAACAGTCACCTGAGGCATTACCACCTCCATCATCGTCGACGGAGGGTGGGACGGGACAGGGAGTAATCCCATTCTCCCCCATCTCGCCCTAAAGCAAAAGTGCTGGGCTGGTTTGAATAAAGTGTATTCTCTCTCTCTCTCTGACTAAAGCAGCCGTCACTCTCGCGCTCCCCTTTGGTTCCGCCGACCCCTCCGCTGCCCCCGGCACACCCGGCTCCTCGTGGTTCGACATTTTGGTTTGAAAAAGCGCGTAGCGCACATCCCGCATAATATTGGAACAACTTTCTCTCCAATTAATTCTTAAATGTATTGCAAAAGGGTACAAAAAAGCGGTTTGTTTAAACAACGCCCAAAAGGTTTTGATTGTTTTTCAATACTTTTACCTGTACTAGAACAGATGCGACGGCCAGCGACGCACAGGATTGGTTGCCGTTCCTTCGCTAAACGCAGGAACTGCTCCCCGCGTCGTAGTAAATCCTATCCCGTATCCCGCGCGTAGGGACGCCTCAGGGAATGCGTAGCTACTTCCGCTCGTCGGTGGTTGGCTCCGGACGTCGCTGAAACGGGTGACGGGTGTCAAGTTTGCGATGACGTAGCGACGTCAAAGTGGGCAGAGCCGCCACGTGAGTGTTGCTAGGATACGCTCCTCCTTTGCATTACGTCACTTCCATGTACCTTTTCTCAAATGTCCAACCTAGCGATTACAGAGGCTGGAATACTGACTAGTGTTGTGAGCGGAGGCATTTTCTATGGGCGCGGAGGCGACGCGAGCGGATGAAGGCGCTAGGGGGCGCTCGATCCAGGAGTCCTATTACCGCCGCCACCGCCGCCGGCAACACCGTGCTGACTGACCGTGCCGCTGGTTGCTTTTCTGTGCGGCCGAGCTTCGACGAACGCGGGGAACGGAGCCGGTTTGTTCCTTTTAAGCTGTAGATTCGCGTGCAATGCCGTCTAAAAGGGCCAAATCTTGCTTTGTGCCGAACTGTAACAGCGGTTACCAGTCTTGCAAAGAGAAAGTGCCGCTGTTCCGTGCCCCGAAAGACGCCGAGCGCTTGGAGGCATGATCCCGGAACATCAAGCGTGCGGACAGAACCCTCGACAGTACGTGTGTGGTGTGTGCGAAACACTTTGAAGAACAATAGATCGAGAAGACGTTTAAGCACATCGTAAACGGTGAGCTCGTCCAGATCCAACGCGACAGACCTCTTCTGAGGGACGATGCTGTTCCCACCATTTTTCCGGGCGCGCCAAGTTATTTCACCCGAAGCCTCCCCAAAAAAAGAAAAACAAGAGATTTGTGCCACCAACTGTTGCCTCCTCGTAAACGCAAAAAGCAGAAAGAAATCTGCGAAGCCGTAGATATTCAAGGCGAAAAGACAAGCTCAACATGGACGCACGAATCCGTACATATTCAGGACGAAGAGAGAAGCTCAACAGCGACGCAGCGGTCTGGTACATCCCAGTTCTACAGCAACCTGCATTTGCCAACCTCCTACTGGTCGAAGATTGTATTCGAAGAGGACCCGTCGTCGGTACACTACGCATGGTGTGAACCAGGAAGCAACAGTCATGTGAAGACTACAAAGTTGGTTACGTTCTGTTCCCTCAGTGGTGAGAATACAGCGCGCTGCTGCGTGTACTTCCTCGCTGTGAAGATCATCGACATCGAGGTGCACACCTCTGCTGAAGCTGAAGCTCAGCTAATGAGTGCAGAAAACTCAGCCATGTGCCCTGGAGCAACACTCAAGCCACTTGTGGGGAAAAACTATGTGACCTTTGGCAACGAATACTTTTCGAAGGACTGCACTGGCCGTCCACAGGATGAGCAGCCGTGCTTACGTTGCAGGTACCTTAAAAAGCTTATCCAAAACCAGATGTCAAGGAAAAGGAAGAAGACGTCTAGCTCCACCAAGAAGCAATCGAGAAGAAGACATGCTCTGTTCAAGGCGAAAAAGAAGCTGCTAGTGGCAAGGAAGACGATTGAACAGCTTCAAGCTCAAAATGATTCGCTGCCCTCAACAATCATCCAAGAGCGGTTGGCGGGCTTGCCACCAAAACAACGAGCTGCTGTCACTTGCTGTTTCGATGCAGCTTCAAGGAAATCACGTCAAGGGATGAAGTACGACAAGTCTTGGATCCTAGAATGTATCCTCATGCGAATGAGAAGCCCAAAACTCTATGAACACATCCGAAAGCAGAACATTCTCGCGTTGCCTTCCAAATCTTGCCTGCAGACCTATATACGTGGCTTTAAAAGTGGATTTGGTTTCAATACAAACGTGTTTTCTGCTTTGTCACAGAAAACAAAAGAAATGGATGAACTCGGTCTTCACGGAGGTATTGTGTTTGACGAAATGAAGTTGTCGGAGCATGTGAGCGTCAAGTCATCGGGAGCACTGGAAGGTTTCGTTGACCTCGGCTCATTTACTCCTGGGGACCAGAAAACAACGACGTGCGACCATGGCCTGGTCGTGATGTTCCAGCCCTTTCATGGTGAGCATTTCAATTGTATAATTATTTTTCAGCTCTGAAGGAGGTAGGATTTACCTCTTTTGTTTTATACAATCCTTTCTTTGAATTAAATTTTTTTTTTTAAGTAGGGCGCTTCAAAAATGTTATTTCGTTACTGACCTAGGCTGATGTTGCAGTCGGTGACGATATTGATCGACCTATAACATTATTTTGATTAATACCATTTTTAATTCAAGCCTAATTGTTATTATGCACGCATATTCACTGCTTCTGCAGGCGACTGGACTCAAGTCCTTGGAACATTCGCTTCTCGGAGCAATGTGAAGGCAGGCACCCTCTCAAAGATCCTTCTAGAGGCTATCCTCCTCGCCGAGCAGGCTGGCCTTTTCGTCGACTTCGTTACCTGCGACGGAGCTTCCTGGAATCGAAGTATGTGGAAATCCTTTGGCATAAAAGGTATGTATGCTTTAATCTGACAGGAGTAGTGCTCTATCTCTTCATACTTTTTTGTAATGAGTGTAAACTCATACATATGCTTCTTTCAGCATCCGCAAAGGAGATCTGCTGCAAGGTGCATCATCCCGTCGACAGAAGGAGAAGTTTACACTTTCTTTCCGACTTCCCACATCTTATCAAATGCTTCCGCAACACTGTAGTGTCAACTGGTGTGCGGACTCCTGATGGTCATGTCCGCATCGAGCAAGTTGAGGAGGCGTGGAAATGTGATAAAGCAAACGTGAGACTTAAGGTTATGCCCACCATAACGAAAGCACACTTGCATCCTAATCCTTTCGAAAGGATGAAGGTCAACCTGGCCTTCAAGCTTTTCAGTGAGGAGGTGCTCAAGGGCCTGTTTTTTTACAAGAATAGGATGGGATTTAGATCCATCACACCAACAGAGAACTTTGTGAGACTGATGGAGAGACTTGTGTTCGTTATGACGGCTCGAATCCCACCCAAAGCGTTGAAACCACAGAAGTCGCGTGCTGCATTCTTAGCAGATTTTCTCATCTACCTTAATGAGTGGGAAATGTATGCCAGCAAGCACAACGGTGGCTTCATTAGTGCAAGCACAGCCTTGGGCCTGCGTGTGACGATAAGCAGTACGCTTTCCCTTCTGGACTATTTAACGTCTGTGCTGGGGTATGACTACCTTCTCACTGCAAACTTAAGTCAGGACAAAATGGAGAATTTTTTTTCTCTCGTGAGACAATCATATGGGTGCAATGACCATCCTACGCCAGAGCAGTTTTTGCTGATCGTTAACTGCCTAAGTTTTTACAACTTGGCAAAGCCCCTAAAGTCAGGGAACTCTTCCCCAGAGCTGGTAACTGCCCTCCTTAAGTCCGCTGAGGCCCCAGGCCAAGGTGAGACCCACATTTCAAGTCTTGTGGATGAACTCCTAGATGGCGGCAACTGGGAAGGTGCTGACACGATAATCACAGCCACAGGGCATGACTCTCAGTGTCCTCCCAGCACTGCCCCATCAAAAGAAACAGCATCAATAGGGAAGCACTCTAGCTTAGTGAGTGAAAGAAGTGACAGTAGGCTGATCTATTACATTGCTGGTTATGTTGCACGTAAAATGATAAAAAAAAAATCCGTGCTCCGAGTGTGCTGCAGAACTCACTGTGCTCCCGCTGCAGGCTGAGCAAAATCCTGACTCGTGCTTCACAAAAGCTTTTGACCATGGTGGTCTTCTTTACCCTACTGAAGCCTTGTCAAACTTTGTGACTGCGTTGGAAAATGCTTTCACTGTTTTTTTTCAGCCACAACGAGTTGCACTGTTCCAGTGTCGTAGATTTTTTATCTTTTTTACAGAACCTTTCATTTGACCGCGTTGGCTGTGTCGAGCACACTAAGTTGACCACTGCGAATTTATTGAAGTTCTATGTGCTGACTAGATTACACTTTTATACAAAGTCGGTCAACAAAGAGAGAGAATCCCGAAGGGAGAGGCAGAAGCTCCTCAAGAAGAGGAGGCTGGAGTAAATACAGGGTGCTCCAACCAACAGTGAAAATATGTTTTTAAGCAAAGCACACTGGATATTAAAAAAAATTATTCCCTTGGAATGACTTTATCGACCATGGGGAGGTAAATGAGTCCAATACAAGGACTAATGAACTAAAATGCAATAATTGACTTTTTACATACTTAAGTCAGGGTAGGTGTTTATGTTGAAAAATTCAAGGTGGCCGAATTTCAAGAATGTTTCTTTTTGTAGAGGTAACCTAACCAGCCTGTGTTCTGGTGTATCCATCTCTAAACTTTCCGCAGAATCCGGCTAAACAGGATACAACATAGGGATATTGGTGCCACAACCGATCTTTACGTATTGCATACAATTTAGCTGTATTGTGTGGAAGGTTTGGAGAGGGATATCTCGGAACACAGGCTGGTTAGGACAATTCTATGAAATAGAACTCTTGAAATGCAACCACCTTGAACTTTCTAACTTGACCCGATACCCTTATTACAGTGTTTTCAGCGTTGTTTAACACAGTTCAGTTAATTAGTTAACTATTGGTATGTTCTTTTCTGCCGCAGTCGATAACATTATTTTGAAGATGTAATTTCTTTATTTCTAGTGCTCTCCGTTTAAAATATTTCACTCTTGGTTGAAACACTATGCATATGAACTTCGCAGTGGTGTTTTAAGGTGCTTGCTGAAGTTATCCATAACCTTAGTCATTTTGCAAGGTATTCAAAATGAATAAGTTTTATATTTAGTGTCGGGCACTTTATGTGGATTCTTCGTCATTTTGCCTGGTGTGCAAGATATTTTTGTCATCTGTTCAACGTTTAGTATGTATTCCTAGGAATTTTACAAGATATGCAGAATAATTTGCATTACCTTTGTTATTATTGTTGCTGCATTTCTAGTGATTTAACAAGATTTTCTTAATAATTTGTATATTATTTCTTGAATGTTTTGGGTTTTCTAGTAATTTTCATGTTCCTACATTTTAGTCATTTGCAAGATGTGTATTGGTCGTTTCATGTGAGTTCTGTATTCCCAGCAATTTATTGACATCTTACTGTGTGTCATGTGTGTAATTGTTTAATAAAGATACGATGTTTCATTGCACAGGATGTTATTTCTTTCTATAGATATATTTTTGTAAATTTTGATCACATCCCTCTGCACAACATGCACTATGTTTTAACTTGAAGGAGCTATCTTTGGAAAGAGAATCGCAACCATATTGCAAAGCCAGCACGTTTTCTTCGGCGTTATTTTGCTAGCAGTAGTTCTATGCCTGGAAAACACCCTCCCCGTAACGTGAAATCAAATCTCGACGTCGTAGTCGTCAGCGTAGCGCGTTCGTTGTGTTCCCCTTTGCGGCAGGAGTTTTAATCGTAAATCAGTTTGTGGTGACTCCTCCTTTCTTTTTTCCCTCATTATTCCCGCATTAATTCTACACGCCTGAAAGCGCTTAAAAGAGCGCACGCGCGCTTTTTGGCTCCTCGGCCGCGGACTCTGTGCGCATCGCACGCCTTCCGCGGCGCTGCTCGGTCGTCTTCCTGATAGGACTGCTGTCCGCAGCGCCACCGCTTCTGTCATCCGAAAACGTTGCTCCTCTCCGCCGGCGCTCTGAACACTTACTCCGACTCGGCGCAGCGTCGCTTCGTCGCAAGACCGTCTGCCTACGACCGGCTGGCGTGCTGAATGGAATATGCCCGCGCTACCCTTGTGGACCCTTCCCGCATTATAGTTTGATCGCTGACCTCAATTTTAGATTAAGAGGTGAGGTCAATCTCTTCCCCTTGTTTTCCGAGGCAGTGTTGACGAACACTCGTCGAAAAGGGACTCTCGTCGATTCTATCTTCTTGTTTTGTGTGATATAGAGCTGAAATAAATGCCGTACGGATTACCTTCGTAACACGGTATGTACACTTTGTTATTGGTATGCCATTTTTATTTTGACAGACTGCACGTCACTGTCGAGCTATAACAGTTCGTGGGAGGTATACGTGCAACGCCGGTCCAACCTTTCTTTGCCGAGTGTCGCGTCAGTATCGAGTTGCAATCGTAAAAGATCGGTCCCGAAGCGCTTACCAACAGCGCGAATACAGCACTTCCATCAAACGCGCGCGTCCGCTCCGAGTGTGAACAGGTATTTACGTGGCTCTTGCTGACACTCGTAGTTCAAACGTATCTTTTTTAACGTCGGCTCGCTCCTGCATCTCCGAGGCCGCGAAAAACGCTGCGGCAATTTGTTTCCATCTACACTGTTAGCAAGTGCCGTGTATTTGGTGAATATTTGGGGTGAAAAACACGCTATTTACACAAATTACCATAAATTTACACGATGAGTAACGGATAATACGTTCAGATATCATGCGAGGTTGTAAAAAACGTGTTTTGGTTCGGTCATACACGCATAACCGTGTAGCCGACCTCGATAACACGCATCGCCTCCGGCGACGACCGCGGCATTGCCGGCTATCGAAGCACCGGAATGCTTGGGGACACACTTAGAAAGGACCGTCGAGACAAATGCCGCGGAAAGAAACATGTCTCGGAAACAGATAAGCACCAAAAGCAATTACGCCATGTCGCGGGACGTTGGCGAAACCCCATGGAGAATAGAAGGGTAGGAGAGGGCATGACGTCGGCCGCGTAGCCTCCACAATCCATGCTCCATTGACGCCTCGCCTCTTTCTCATTTCCCTCCTTACTCTCCTCACTCACCATGCCAACGTGACCACATCACGTGACCATAGCTAGCCTTCGTCTTACTATGGGCCACTAGAATACACCACAGTCTAGCCTTCGATCTGATAAAACCTACCGGACGGAGCGCGCGCAAGCCTGCAAGGAGTCCTTCTACAATGAACCATCCATCTCACACGTGACATGTCACGCGCACCAATCGCCAGAGAGATCTGCGGTCACGCTGGGCACAGAATCGTTTAAACTTTTTATGACTAGGCTTCACCAATATTGCAACGTGCCCCCTCCTAGTACTTCTAACCTCCTTGGCGAAACCCGCGCTTACCGTGGCTCGCCGCCATTTTTTGGTCGATGGCAATGCGGCTTCCCTCATGTCGCCCCTGTTTGCATTTAGTTTAGGGCTCTTGATAATAGTTTCTTACACACCACAAATAAAGTCATGGGTCCAATTATTTGTTCAAAACAGTTAAAATGGATATAAAAAGCGTGTGTTCGATGTGAACACGTGACATTGCAGTTGGTTTCGTTTTTGCTTCAACCTTCAACTGCTTCAACTGCAAGCGATCTGGCCGATCTGGCAAGCGCAACGTCGATGTACGGTGGAAGCAAGAGCCGGTTGGCTTTCGTTCTTTTTGTTTGACCGGAGAAATTTCTGGCAGCCGCTATTGTTTTGGTTTGACGGGACGCGAGAAGCTTCGCATAGAGCTTCGCAGTTTGCGAGCACATAGTGAAGACGTGACCGGAGAAGTGCCCCTGTGATGTTCCCGGAAGACGGAAAGTACCATTCGTCGTGTGTGCTTTGAAAGCGAGGGGAGTCACAGGGTCCACGAGTGCGCAACCACAAGCCAAGGTTCACGACAGCGCTGCGTTCTTCGGCGACCTCGTTCTGTTTGGGGCAACACGGCGATGCGAGAAAGGGCCGAAACGTTCGTGGTGTGTGGTGCGGTGCTTGTAGGTAGAAACCTGCACTAACGCGGAGCTCATATTGGTTGTTGTGGGGTTGCGTTTGACGGGTTTAGCCCCGTCGTCGTCAGCTGATCCGGTCCAGCTGGTCGGGGAGGACGCAGCGAGCGTTCTTAAAAGTAAATCTTCCTTCGTTCCGTTTCAAAATGTGGAAGATTCCCGACGCATACCGTGAGTAAAATGCTGCGGACGTTTTCAACAAAATTACGTCGTTTTAATTGAACAAGGGACTTCGGATAGTTTCCCTAAATCTGCCGTTTCTATGCTTCGTGTCGTTAGACTGCATTTGCACAGCGACGTGTTCGCACAGCGACGCACACCGCTCGAGTAGATGATTCGGTCCCGCAAACGACCGGTTATACAGAATTTCAGGGAAACTTGAGTCACCACCGATGTTTTCCTGTAAATCTCGTGTGACTCGTGTGAGTTTGTTGCGCTCATCATGCGGTGTGAATAAACTAGGACAAGATTTTCTACCTGCCCACAGATGCATGAACTGAGACCAATTTTTTTACGTAGAGAACATAGTGGTTTTTCTTTACATTGGGAAGAGGCCCAAATTTGTCTCTTTTCCCTCTGGCACTGCCCCAAGTTTCAAGTTGCAGTTTCAGTAGACATACCTACTAACAGGTACAGACTGCTCTAAAGCAGGTAAAAGACTGGGAAGTCAGGACGGTGCGGACACCGTGTTTTGCGCTTCTCGCAAGGTGACTGATGCTTTTGCGAGGTATGCGGAATATGCAAACGATTTTGTTATGCCCTTCGTTTGCGTCTCCAGAAAAAAGAATAAGATTATTTACAAATTTAGGCGCAATCACAAGCCAAGATTTACGATAACAGTGCGTTCGCTTCGGTGGTCCGTGTAGTGGTATTATACGCTGCTTTCTGCAACACCGCGTCATGACGAAGAGCTGGAACGGTCACGGTCTGTGCTGGGCTAGCGGTTGACAGAAACCCGCATCGCCCGCATCGGCACCGAGTGCACTTGGGCTGTTGATGCTCGAGCCTTTCATACGCGGCTTGTCGCCAGCTGATCCTGCTGCTCGACGGTGAGGAAGCGGCGAGTGTGACCTCTGAAGTAAATGTAAATCCTCGTTCATCCAGTTATCCAGTGTCAAAGTGTGGAAGATGTCCAACGTGGACTGAGGGCGGGAACTACGAGCGTTTTGCCTTGCTTTTATAACCGAAACCAGAGCAGCGAGATAATTG